AGAGACGATAACCCTAGACTACATCCTTTTTAAAGCAATAGGCCCAAAGTGCAATATGTCTATAAGACATTTTTCTGATGTCTGTGCCTCTTTAAAGTGGCTCAGAATAGCTTCTGCCAAGAAAATATATTGTATACTCAAACAGCAGCATGCAGCATGTAGAGAAAATGGTTAAAATTCTACAAAAAATTCTCCCACCCCCCCTCCACTTCTGGATCTGGCCCGTAGCTTGTCCTCCACCTAAACTTGTGTGATGACTCACATGCATTTACATTCTCCATGCATCTCATGGCATCTGCTGCTACACATTTGTTGCAGGATCTTGTCTTTGAACAGCTGGTGACAACCCACTCCCTCTTTCCTTCGGCACAGACTTTTCAATTGTTTCTTGTTATTTTGATGAGAGACCCACTGTTGGAAAAACAAGCTTATTACCCTGATTAGAACTAACCATTTAAGCATTTGCCAATTAACAACGTATTTGTTATTTTCCTAAGGACCAAGGAAATGCCTCCCTTTCTCTTCTTTCAATTTCTTCAGATGTGACTCCATCGAGACAGCACAAAATTGAGCAATTTTAATAAAAAGAATGGTATTACTAATTCCATTGTTCTTCCCATTGTCTATGGTGTTTTTTCATTTACTTTTTCCAAGCTAATCTTAATTAGCTCTATGTTGCAATAAGCATGCTGTCTTCTTAAGCATACAGAAAATATGCCAAGAATAATGGATGTTATAGAAATGACCTTAAGAAAGCACACTGGAAAACTCTACACCCACATTAGAAACAACGATGAAAAAACATTTAGCTTTAGTTATTTGGGACCAATACTACTAACGGGCATTAAGAAAAATAATCTGACACACATGTTTTTTCAGCAAAATAAGGGACTGTCTGGTTTATACTAGTCAAGCGTGTTAAACTGGAAACAGAAATCGTGTTTCAGGGATCTGATCTCGACTCTCTCTATCAAATCACAGACAGACTACAATACTACTGTATTTTGGGAGGAAATATGTACTTAAAAATTGAACTTAATGTGTAGTTACTGTTCTTTCTTTGTATCCTCTCATTCAACTTGTCTAGATTTCCTTGCCAGGTACCAGCTTTACTACATAAATATTTCAAGGAAGTAGGAAACTTTCAAGTGAGACTAGCTTGTTTCCATTTTTGAGAAGACAATTAATTTTTATCTCAGACAACTCCAGTAGTAGTTACTTGAGAAACTGTATATAATCCTATCAGACCAAATGGTAGTACAGGCAAAGCCTCTTTTACTTTAAAATATTTGAAGTGCTTATGACTGATTTGATGGCTATACCATTCTGTAGGAATTTTCCAAAGGGTTGTTTTTTTCTCCTTTTACATAATTCAAGTTGAAATTACGATTTGTATTGTTTACACTGCACTGCTCTGTTTATTCCCATGCGTAATAACTGTTTGTGTCTTCGGCTATGCTTTCCCTTAAAATATAGATATACTTATGATGCATGGCTATTTAGGTGTTCTGAATCTCTCCGCAGAGGTCCCTTTGACAACCATTGCAAACTCTGAGTTGATTTTTCCCTTGTAGATGCCACAGAGCACCTCGCTGCAGGGGGAGAGGTTTCCTTGGAGGGTCGCCCTTGCTTCCTCCGTTCCTTAGGATATCTTAGGATATCTTAGGATAGTTATCCCTCTCTAATAAACAGCTCTTTGGGATCCTGAATTTTTATTTGTCAGTTTCATGTTACAAGAGAGTATTTCAAATCACTTTGCTGCTCAGGGGACATTGAAAACAGGCTGTGTTTTGGGTTCTAAGTTGACTTTCCAAGATGGATCACTTGAAACCTACAATACTAATTTACTTAAAGATGTATTATGTGCACTTTGCTAAAATGCTGAGGGAAAAGAAGCCAAGATTCTCCACGAAGCTACTTGAAGAAGCCAGAAGAGATTTTATCCACATATTTTTATGCATATAGCATTACCGAGCTGATTTGCTGGGATCCTGCACTCTTCATATGCTGTATGTTAAAAGATAGCAGAAGTTTATAAATGGGCTGCAGGTACACACTTTCTCTTCAGCCTTGCAAATCAAGGACTGATCTGAAGCACATGGATGGATCTGCTCCACAAAACTGACATCAAAACAAAACCTCACAGCATTGTAAACAGAAAGGAGAGGTTTCTCATTTCCTGAACAGCAGCTCAAGCGCAAACAGAGATGCTAAAGCCTTGAAGTTCATTTTTTTGCATGAAACCATGAAGGCAAGTTACACATAACTATTAGATAATTCTTACTACATTAGTTGTAATTTCCACCTGAGAACACCTTAGGACTGTGCTGCTGTACAGTAGGATGCATAATATTTCTTTCTCCCTGGGGCAGTACGGGTAACGACTGACACCGTGGCAGGCTGTGTTATACCTGCTCTATGAATAGCAGTGTCATTTGTCATGTACTTGAAAAGACTGCTTGTTCATCATAGCTGGTGACAAATTTGAGGTTAAGATAGTTTTGTCCTTTAGTTCACAGACCAAGTCTCTCTCACTGCAGGATCATTCACCACAGGCCAACTCCTCTCTGCCCTTTCTAGTCTCTGAGAAAAGACAGGTCTGCAGATAATTGGCTATTCAACGCCTGCATTTCAATTATCATATTATTTGAAGAATCTGGTGCTTCACTTATTATTCTTCAAGTAGTTTTCTTAATTATTTACTATTGCAGGGGTGGGAGAAACCTATTTGCTTCTCCTTTTTGTTCCTGCCTCAACTCCATTTCAGAAAGCAATCTCAGATAAAAGAGAGAGTGATTTCGGCACCCTAATCGCATGCTGCTGTTGTTGGTTTTGTTGCTGCAAGTGGCAATATAGGGTATTACCTTACCCTACACTTTATGAAATGCCACATTATTTTTATTGTGATGTAATTTTTTTGGTGAGCTTTTTCTAACAGCCAAATCTGAAAGCCATGGTAGTTGGTTTAATTACAAGGGTTCTGCATATATTTACATAATATATTGGAAAGTTTTTTAGTGGGAGAACGCCTCAGGGCACATATGGCAATATCTCCCTTCTTTCTCTCTCTCCTGTCAATTTTTCTTGAGTCATCCCACTTTCTTAAGCTTTAGGTCAATAAAATGGATTTCAAAGCAGTATCTGGTATCTGCTGAGACAGTAACTTCATAGCATGCCTGTAGGAAGTGCATATTTTTTCATTTTCAAACCTGACTGTTTCTCTAATTTTTCTACAGAGGGATCCTAATGCACGTTTAATTAATGTAACCTTATTTAAATAATTTTTGCATATCTTTTCTGCTAACATGCACTATATATCTATGTGTGTAACAATGGGGAACAATCTTTAATTTCATTTTTACTATTTCCACAAAGCATCCGTTCCAAAAGGGGCAAAGTTCATTGTAGAAGTTTGATAAGATGGGTAGAGTCTCATGGAAAATAATAGTAAATATTTCATCAGATGTTCTGGGGCCTGAAGAATATAATTATTGGATTAGTTTCAAACCACTGTAGTGTGCTGCATGTCCTAAACAGTGTCAATGTTATTATAAAACTTTTTGTATTTGTTTTGATCTAAAATTAGGCAAAATGTTGAAATGTCGTTGTTTCCCATGGAATAGAAATTCTGGAAAGATTTCTATTGGGATTTCTATTGTTCCATCAAATTGGAACATTAATATTTGTCAATTTCAATCAAAATAAGAAATCTTTACATTCCTGAAATGGAAATATTTTGCTTTGCAAATTCTTGTAACCTAAACAGATTTATAGTACTGATCCTTATTCTTTTTATGGACCAGGTTCCTGGCTGCTACTACTGTTTTCACATCAAACCATAGCATTCATATGCTATGTCACACGGAAGAAATGCATTCTGAAACATACACTGCACTATAGCTGAAGAAGCCCTTTAGAGATTCAAGCCCCCAAGAGAGAGTGGAGGCTGAAATTAAAAAGTAAACAAAGTAATATAAATGCTGGGAAATGCGGTTTAAAATACATGCATTTGGATTTTCCATGTTTTCCAGTATATTTCAGCTGAGTATGTCTACTCGGTTGTACTCAGTACTCTGTTTCAAGGTATTTGGAATATTACGTTATATATAATTATTATTATAATGGATATAATGATTTAAAAGGATCGTGAATTTTTCCCTTGTTTTAAAGAAAAGAACATTAGAAAAGGTAAAAGAGATCTTTCATTTTACATGGACCATTTAGAAAAAATGCAGAAAAATATGTTAGCCAAATAATAATAAACTCCTTAACTGACAAAATGTTCTGAGTGCAGAGCTATGTTTACAGGCAAGCTATCAACATGATTGTCCAGGATTTCCACAGGCTAAATAGAGTAATGGTGCAACTTATCCTATATAGGGTGAGAGAAGAGAGAGTGACCAGACTTGAGCCTTAGCCTTTTGTGAGGCACCTCCTGGGTCCAGTGCCATTTCTGGGTACAGCCAGTGGTTCCCAAGAGGACCTGCAAAACAACTAGATACCATACCTTCAGATTTTTTAAGTAGTTTGTGTCAGTGTAACTCCATCTCCATCTGTGGCTGCCTGATTACAAAAAAAAGAAAATGGGGAAAATGGGAATATATGAAGAGGGAGTTACATGTTATTTATTGAAACAATAATTTATCTATGGATATCTCGGAAAAAACAGAGTGTGTCTGGTGCACCCAAAACTTTCATCTGACACATAGATGTAAAAGATAATGCCAGGTCTTTCATTTTATTTAGTCCTACTTTTCTCTACCAAATAATCTCCTTACTCTACAGAAACATGAAAGAGAAGCTATGTAACCTTAGCTTCCATTAGTCAAAAATCATTTGAATCCTTCAATAGAAAACATATATTTGGACAAAATAAGGCATAGATGCCATTTCATTTTCTTCTTTGGATGTGCTCTGGTGGAAGGCCTATTGACCTTTTGTAAAAAATGGCTTCCTGAGAAAAAGATGAATTTCTCTTCCGTTCTTCCTTCTCTCTGCAGATCAGTCTGTCTTCTGTTTACAGAGAGCAAATCCTCCACATCCCTCCTTGGATTCAAGACCCCAACTAATCCCTCATCTCTTTGATTCTCTACCAGCTGTTCATCTGTCCTCTTTGTCATATGCTTTGATGGGGAAATCTTCCCATCAAAGCCAACAAGACAATTAGACACATGTAAGTATTTAAGAATGCAATTATACTGCAAAATATTTTATAGATAAGTGTAAAATGGTAAGAAAAATCATCTCCTGAATTGCACCATATCAAAACCAATTGATCAGGTAAAACTGAGAATTTCCAGGAATTCAGATATTTTACACAAGTTGAAATATAGATTTCATGTTTATTCTCAAACATTATAGAAAGTTGTGACTATTTCTGCATAGATAAGAACATACAGAATTTTATTTTGAGCACTAAAAGTGATGATCTGATCCCTCACTCCACATATTAATATTTGTTCCAAGTCACGAGCCTCATAACAGGTTCACTGGCCCCTAAGCTATAGCTTGTCACAAGCAGGAGACAATTATTAGAGAGCTTTCCCTCTGTTTGGTCCTTGTAATTAACTTGATTTCCTCCACAGAATTCCAATTATCCTATTAAACAATGAGTCAGGATGCTTATATTGATACAGGTGCCTTAATTGGTTAATTTATACTCGTGCCAGCCCCAACTAAGAACTGATTTCCCTGAGGCGTCCTTAGATAACTATAGTTCCTCCTAAACTGTAATGGTAATTCTTAACAGGCGTAATACGTGAGCATAACATTTGGACCTTTGCACAAGCATCCCTTGTCACATGCTCGTTCACGTTTAGCCATACGTAAACATGCTATTCAGCTTTTACTTGCTTCTACTTTATAATTTCTAACTTATTTAGTTTTAAGTATAAAACTAGGATTATTCAATACTGACTCTATGCTTTTAAAACCAATTTGCAAGGAAAAAGTCCTAATAATATTGCTTTTTTTAGTAGCACTCTAAACCAATTAAACACTTAATAGATGCCAGTGAATACAGCTGCAGTCTATCATATAGACATTTATTTGCATATGCTGTCTGGTGAGTGACATTGTTTTCATTATTGACTTATGAGGATGGAAATAATAGATGGATTATTTACTGAACTGTCTTTAACTCTGCATCAACTGAAAGAACTATTTAAACGTGTAACAACTTTCACTAACACGACGAGCCTAGATATTTTAAAACCAAAGTGAAGAGAAGGTCGAGAGCTTTGTCTGTGCTCTGCAAGACTAGTTCTCACAACAGCAAGAAAACAGGATCTAGCTATCCTGCAAATCATAGGAGAAACCAGCTAGAATTAATTACAAGTAGATTTTTTTAAAAATAATTTCAGCAGAAATTAGATTTTTCAGGACCAGACCAAGGTGGTAGTGAGGTGCCAGGATTGTGATTTTTCCAAACTTAGAGGCTGATGAATGCCATGAGCTTCTACTACAGTCCCTTGAAGGAAGTTTTCAAAGAACCTATAAAAGGACTAAGTGCACAGCTCAAGAGACCCTCATAGGTGTTCCTTGACTTCATTTCCAGTTTAGCTTATGTCACCTTTTTACTTTCTTTCCTTCTGCTGATTTAAATTAAAAATGTACTCTCTCCCCTCCTAATTCTGCTGTATTAGCTGGACACCTTACTGGCTGTAACCACTGTTAGAAAAAAGTAGTATTATTTCCAGTTCATAGATGGAGATCTGTACCTACCTAAGGTATCAGTGATAGTCTGCAGAGAACAAGCAACTGAACCTTGATCTCTTGAGTTGCAGACCAGCATCCAAAATATGGGATAATTCTGTTTCTTTGTTTATTTGAATGTATCTCTCTATCTTTTCAGGAGACGCATTCTGTTAATATAAAGTAAAATAAACAAGCTGTTTCTGTCAACTGTCACGTGCAATACCTATTTTGTATTCTCTGTCTGTTGTGGCTTAACTGTACAGCCTGATACCTCTTTGAAATGTGCTAAGAACTCAACATGCATATAATTTTAAAATGATAAAAAAGTGTATGTATTTTGACTGGAAAACCCCTCTTCACTTGAACAGGATAGCGGTATCTGTAGATGATGCATTCCAGCAATACATCTTTTTATATACTCAAGCTGACAGGCAAAATTTGTCAGTGGCTTAGTCACCACTCAGCTGAATCACCAATCTCTTTTAAAAAATAGCTCAGTTGAGGGAAGGGTATTCACCCCCCCTGCTGTAGTAAGTTAAATTAAATACAATATACAGATACTCATAAGAAGTTGATTTCAGGATAGAGAGGAAACTCTGTTCTCCTTGTGGGTATTGGCTTATATTTTACATTGCTGAGGTAGCGTCTTTGACCTGGGTGCCAATTGCTGCTGTGCAGCAGTTTGAATGTCATCTCCAAATGGACATTGTTCATGGATACTGTGTTCATGGACACTGCTTCTGGAAATGATCTCAGAAACAGTATGGCTTTTTCTCCAAGGCATAAATGTACCATATAAAACAAGTTCTTGTTCATAAAAAGCATGATCTTCACAACACATTTAGGACATTTAGGACAGCTCCCATAGGGAGGAAACCACTTAGGGTGGTGAATAAGGCTCCAGAGGAGCTGTACTTTCAGCTTGCATGTAAAAGTCAAAATGCAGAGTTTCTGAATATCGGAGTTGAGTAAATTTCAGCATGTATATCCAGGAATATCAGAACTATTGAATTCTTCTGTCTCTTCACTGATTATGTTGGAAAATGTGGGGAAAAAAAAAAAAAGAGACAGAATCTTTTCTTACTACCGAGACTTTTCCAAACTTTCACTGATTTATTTGGTGTCTACAAAAATGTGAATGCAGGCTGAAGTTCTTCCTCAGATGGATAACTTATTGGGTCTATCTCTGACCATTGTTTTCATGAAAGAGGGAGAAATTGTATTTCTGATCAACTCTAAGGCTATTTTTTTTCTTTTATGTCTATCTACATTTTCTACAGTCAGGAGGAACAGAATCACAGAATTATACAGAATAGCTGAGGTTGGAAGGCACCTATGGAAATTTTCTAGTCCAAGGTCCTTGCTCACAGCAGGGTTAACTGTAGCGGGTTGCACAGGGCTGTGTCCAGTTGGGTTTTGAGTATCTCCAAGGATGGAGACGCCAAAACCTCTCTGGGCAGCCTGTTCCATTGCTTGACCTTCCACGCTCTAAAAAAGTGTTTTATTGTGTTTAAATGGAATTTCCTGTATTTCAATTTGTGCCCATTGCTTCCTGCTCTGTCCCTGGGCACCACTGGGAAGAATCTGGCTCTCTCTTCTTTACAGTCTCCCTTCAGACATTTATATACTTTAAGACAGACATTTATACATTATATGTACATATATATACATATATACTCCAGAGCCTTCTCTTCTCCAGGCTGAACAGGCCCAGCTCTCTCAGCCTTTCCTCCTATGAGAGATACTGCAGTCCCTTCATCATCCCTGTGGCCCTTTGTTGGACTCACTTCAGTATGTCTATGCCTTTCTTGTACTGGGGGGCCCAACACTGGACCCAGCACTCCGGGTGTGGCCCCACCAGGGCAGAGCAGAGGGGAAGGATCAGCTCCCTTGATCTGCTGGCAATGCCGCTCCCCGGCAGGTCGACCTCAGCCTGTACTGGTGCCTAACGTAGCCCAAGATGCCTTCTTTGCCACAGGGACACATTGTTGGCTCACAGCCAACCCGGCTTCCACCAGGACCCCCGGGGCCTTCTCTGCAAAACCAAACCCTCAGGATACCACCAACTGGCTTTGTGGCATCCCGAGCTTGAATTGCTGACCGTGGTAATGAAAGTGTTTGTGAGATTTCCAGATCAGTTTTATGCAGTCAGGAAGTGCGGTGGAAAAGTTTCTAAACGTCTGAGTTGTTATTCAAAGCAACTTCCAGCCTTCTTGAAGTTTACTCATTTATTGTTAGCATTTGCTTTATAGCATCTATGGATAGAAAAAACACCCAGAATGTGCTGGGAATCTGAGTTCAGCTTGCGGAAGCCATTGAAATAACTTTATACTTATCCATAAGTTTTATTCCTTCATGTACTCCATCAGAATTGGAATAAACCCTAAATGTGCCATGCATTTCCCAAATAAAAAGGGTATGTCCCTTAGTCACAGAGCAAGGACACCAGCCAGCCAAAAAATGTTTTCTACATTTAGACAAAATAGTTCCTGAATTGAGGTTTTGTGGAAAAGAAGATCTGTGCTGAAAGATATGAGGAGTCTGCAAGGAAGAAGAAAAGAGATGGGGAGCTCTCAGAGAAGTTAATCCTACCCTTTTTCTGTCTTTGTTTTAGGCTGGGCCTGTCCTGAGGCATCTCTTAGAAGTTGATATTCTATGTTTCCTAAAAAAACACATAAAGCTTAATTCTCAAGGTCTGAATAGTTATCTCACTGTTTTTACACAGTTCCATTGTATGGAATACTACACATTTTTTATTTAGCTGTGTTTTAATGGCTCTTTTAACACTTGCCAAATTTTTTACATTATTCATGTTAAATTATTTGCATCTCATCCTAATGGCTCTCTCACAGCTACTCTAATACATGCTGGTGTGTATCTTCACCAGCTGTTCCATTGAAATTACAGGTAATCACATCATGTGCATTATTTTGATTATATTAACATCACATGTGTCATAGCAGCTTACCAACTTTGGAGGTACTACCTGCATACCTTAGCAGCAATGGGATTATTTGCAGATTGTGATGTGGAATATAGTATAAATATTCATGGAGAGACTGAACTTCTCATGTTCATGGATCATTTTTAGTCCCTAGGACTCCATCACTTGCTAACATTCCACAGAGATAGAAACTACATGGATAACTCCCTGCACAATTCATTATTCATTCATTTTGCATAAGAAAACAATGATCTTCAGCCTCAGGTTGATTCAACGTTAAAAACAGTAAACTAAGAAAGCTTTTCCTTCTGCTGGAAGTAATAGCATATGTAAAGCATTCCGGAAGACTGCCTATCCTTTCCACTCCTATTCTGTGTAGCTTGTGTTAGCAACGGAGAACAACCACCACTACACAATTATTGACTCATTGCACACTACAGCTTTTGTCTAAATGTGCTCTCAGTAGAAATATCACAAAATAAAATAAATTTGTGAAGGTCTAAATATGTTTCCTTTCTAACAAAGAATCTCTGAATGTGGTAGTCAGTGGTCTTAAGTAAGTGTCCGTACAGTACCCGTAATAACTAGTGCTGTACTCAAACTGTCTCTCAGAAGATGCGCATAAGGACAGTGCTGATGTTTTGAAGCTGAAATAGTCACGGTCTGTGGAGCAAAACACTGTGTAATTCATAGCACTCTTTTTCGTATGCAAAAAGTTATGAAAAGACATAAAGAAAGGTTTCTAGCAGGTATGACTGCTGTTTCAAATAAGGCTTTAGACAGTAAAATAGGCAAAAAAAAGGCTGTCCAGAATCTGTCTAAATGGTTCCATTATTTCTGAGTCTGTTTCAACAGCCAGGTGAGACATTATCTGGCAGCCAGCCTGCTATGAAAAATATTCTGATAGTATGCTAAGATTTCTACCTGTCTGTTAGGTACCCTACACCAAAATAGAAAAGATCCAACTCACTATTTCATCTGCATTCTGCAAATCAGAGCATCAGTATGGGATAAGCACAGTGTCATTCTAGTGGTCCTCTATTTTAAGGTTATTTTAGTCAAGAGCCAGCTTGTTAGCAAAGCCGATCTAACCGGTTAATTTTAGCTGCTTATAGCAGAAAGTTAGAATCTGGAAACTTGTGCAATTATATCTTCAAAGGTGGAGGTGTACTGAGCTCAGTCAGACTCTTTCTGCCTGTGCTGGAGTGTGTTGTGATTATGGCTGGGCCACCTGCACTTTCCTTGGTACAGAAATCAGTGTCTAGAGGTGGAAGCTTTTCCCCCAGTTGTGAGGCAGGCAAGGAAGTACACGGGATCTGAAAGGGAGAAACACTCTCCCTCTTCCACGAATAGACTCTCATTTTCTGTCTCTCCAAGGTGATCAGCATTATGAGGCAGTTAGAGAGCCCACTTGTGCCAGAACAGTGCAAAGGGAACAAGGCATGACTAAGAGAGATGTGCAGTACGGTGCTTTTTTAGAGCCTGCTTTTAAACTTTAAATGATGTCGGTTCTGATCTTCCTAGATAGCTGTTTTCAAAGGCACACAGAATGGACATTGCTGTTTCACCTGTCAGTTCAATCTTACTTGCAAAATCAAAAAAACATTTAAATATACCAAGATCATAGGTTTCTTTCCTGTTCTTTTTTTGACTCAGCTAGAAAATTTCCAGGAACTAACCGGTTTTCATAAAATATGACATTTTCTTTCCTCTACACAAAGAAAGTGGGTATTTGGGATAGAGTAGATTTTCCATAATTCACTTGAGCTGCTGTGATATCCCTCTATTTTCAGCATACTCCTGGTTTCATAAAAATCCGCTGGATGGCTACACATTGTGGCAGCAGAGCATACTTTGCTACTGATTTTCCAAACTTCTACACATTACTGGTAAGTCCTTTATTGGCTTCCTTCACAGAGAATGATTGTTCTCATGGTTTCTGTGCTGAACTGATTTTTCTTTGCATGTTTCCCCTCAAGATTTTGGGGTGCATCCAAATTCACTTTTTCTTATGTGGCAAAGCCAGACATTTTACAACTTTTTAAAATCAGTCTGATGGTCTGATGTGCTAATCTGAGCCCTTGGTTGTTAGAAGTGACAAAATTTTCAGCCTCCTGATGGGGGAGGGAAGGGAAGCACAACAAGGGTGCACGTACTCCAAAATCCTTTCCTTTTTTCTTCTAGAAAGGATTCAGCCAAGATACCTTAGGCTAGGGCTGTTTTCATTTGATTGACCAGTGTAAATTGGCTGGAAGAGAGCCTGGTTTGAATTTTCACAGGTAGCAAAACAAGGAAACAAAGAGAGGGAGAAAGGGCAGTCCCTGGAGAATCAGTGCTGGAAGATATGGTGGCTGCAACCCCTTGTTAATGAACTACCAATGCTGTAAACAGCAAAGTGTGGGGGAAAAAAGAGACTCAAGCAGAGCAGCAAAAAACCAGAGAACAAACACATTTTAAAGCTTTTCCTGCTATCTCAGTAGCTGGTGTTGGTCCACGCACAGAAACCAATGGATGAAAGAAATGACACTAGAAAAACAGAAAATACATTTCATGCTCTTGTTTTCCTCTTTTTTAGTGTGCCCTGCAATACAAATGTGACAAAGGTACAGAACAGCAGAAAAAAACACTGCTAGTGACTGAGA